TGATTCTTAGTCTTATCTCTTTTTTATTTTAAATCGGATATCTAGTGTTTTCGTTTTTCTTTGTTTTTTTTTTTCCTTTCTTTTTGTAAGATGCTCTGCGGATAATCACGGATTTATTATATCTGAATTTTCGAGATTTTATCTCTTTTTTAGTTTGTAATATTCGTTTATCTTTGCCTTTATATACATCGAGTTCTTTTTTTCCTATCTTCATATTCTCGAAAAAAATTTCCTTCTGCCGTTGATCATGACATCGAGAAAAGTTATTTCGCGTGAGTCCAAAGAATTTGCAAATGGAATAATGGGGCAGGACAGATTTGTTTTGGCTATGTGAGTGAAGCATTCAATGAGGTTCTTCGTGAGGAGCCTTAACTTCCTCGTGTTACTGGTCGATCCAAAGCCAAAGACTTAGATGAACCGAAGACCACAACTCTTTTAAGTTCTGGTAGTCTGAAAGGCTCGGAGGGGAGCGATCGTCCTCCGAAGAAGGCGAAGATCTCGAGGAATGATGCTCGACCCGGCCTCGCGAGCGATAATGCCGCGAAACCGTTTCACTGGCAGTTTTCCCATGCCAAGGATTGTCGCATCAGAAACGATCCTGACTGTGTTGCTCACTTGGCCAGGCATTTCAAGCCAGCGGGTGTCCTCTTCCTTCGTTGCAAAATATGACCGAGAGTGATGCTTACGTAAAGATGGCGGTCGCTCATGCTAAGGTTGGTTGGTCTGATCTTTCGATCTTCGATACTTACTTTACTGTTGTACGTATTCCTGATGCGTCTTTAGGCTATAGAGGAAAACAACGAGTTCGTGGTGACTCTGGAAAAGCGTTTACGGGATATTCCTCGAGCCGACTAGCTTTACGAAGTGAAGAAGGTCATTCGAGAGCTGAAGCTTAGTTTGAAGATGGCGCAGGATCGGGAACGTACCACCATTTCTCAATTGAAAGCGGCTGAAAGGTTGGGAATTCAGGCTGCTTCTCTTGAAGCTCGTCTCCGGGTCGTCAGCAACGAGAGGAAATCGGCTATGTAGCAAGTCGCCGTGCTGGAGGTGCAGATTGAATCTCTGACCGCGAGTCATGCGGAGGAACTTCGTCGTGTGACCTATGCGCTAAAAAGACTTTGGCCGACGGCTACCTGGATGTTCTGATGTCTTTAAAGGAGAAGTGGGAGAGGAAGAAGGCTGCGATAGATTGTGAGATTCTCTTGAAGGAGGTCATGGCTAACATCGACCTTTTAAGGAACTGCTTGCTTCCAACGAGTTATCGCGTTTTCGAGTTAAAGAGGTCGAGCTAGAGGCCGAACTCGACGTGACTATCGGATTTTTCGGTTGGGAAGCTGAATCTTCCACTGGTTTCTGAAGATTTACCTGAGGAATTTTTCTCTAAGGTACCTCCTGGTGAAAATGAGTCTGGGGGCGAGCAATGACGTAATGGGAAGCGCTATGAAGATGGCGAGTTCGACGCTGAAGATTAAAATTAATTTTGTATTGTTTATGTTTGTTTCTATTTTATTTCTGGCAATCTTGATAAAGGATGAATAATAATGGTCTGTTTGGTTTCACTTTCCTTTGAGTGCACGACTTTTTTATTATTTTCGCGGTTGTAGATCGACTTTGATAGATATCGCGTCGATATGTTTTGTTCGAGTAATATGTACTACAATGATGCGCCGTGTTTTTTGGCAGGATTCTAATTGTTTCCACAGCCTTGATCAGGGTCTCTTCATACAGTTAAATCGAAATTGAAAAGATGAGAAAGTATTTTCCTTTATTACTTATAGATGATTCTTTGTATACAATTTTGCATTATATATTAGAAAAGTGTGTCTGTATGAATAGGTTGTTTTCTCCTCTAGATTCGATCTCTTTGTGAGCGACTTGTTTGAGGTGGGTGACTGAACTCAGATCGTGAGCTGACTACGTACCCTTGTCGAAGGATCAAGTCTAACGTAGTTGGATTGTTATCCCAGTAGATTGGGTCATGTTTTCTCGATTTTATTCGTGCACGTGTGTGTGATTCTTGTTGTTCTCGGGGCTTCTTGGTTGATCTTATGGGCTTGGTTCGATGACTTTAAAGCTCGAGAGATAGCATGTTCTGGAGCTCTTTTGACTCCCTCTTATTGTTTCGATCCCTCTTGGCGTGGGAAACTTCAGACATTGATGGTAAGTTGAGGGTACTGCTTTCATGATGTATAGCCATGATCTTCCAAGGATGGCGTTAAATGGAGCAGGTCGATCAATGACGATGAATTCGACAATTTTTCTTACGTCCCCGGTGGTCACGGTGAGCTCGATGGATCCAAGAGAAAAGGTAGTCTCTCCTGCGAATCCGATTAAGGGGGTATTTTCTTGTTTGAAGAGTGTTTTGGTGAAACCATTCTTTTGAATGCATCATAAAAGAGTACGTTTGCGGAGCTTCCGGTATCTATCATGATTTTGGAAAATTCGCATCCTCTGGCATCGAGCCGTATGACGAGTGTGTCGTCATGTGGTTTATTGAGATCAACGGTTTTGTTTTCGTCAAATATGATTTTGTGATCGGGACCCGACAAAGGTTCTCGTATGCCAATGCTAATTTCGGCTCTTCGTTGGTGTGCTTTAATGGAATTGACCGATTTGCAGAATTTTGATCCTCCGTAAATGAAATCGATTACTTTTCCCTTTTCTGGTGGCGCTTCGGGAAATGCCATTGTTTGGCCAATGTTGGCTGGTGGTGTCCTTGCCCCCCGGGCAGGTTGGGTTTGAGTTGTTTCTTATGTATCGGTTTTTTCTAGTAGTTGCCGGATTTTGCTGAATCTGTTACTCTCCTTGGGTTCGTGGTGGGATCTGATTGCTCGTTTGATAGGAGGAGACGTTCTATCGACCTCCGCCGAGCCTCGTATCGTCATCATGATGTCGATGCTTACTCGTTCTTCTGTCTGATTTAGCGCTTCTTTATGATTGGATGCCCATAAGATCATGTCAACTCTTTTCTTTGGGGCAAGAGGTGGTGATTTCGGTGAAGAAATGGCTGTAGCCCGTTTCTCTTTCCTCGTCATTTGAGATGTGCTCTAGATATGGCTAACCGTAAGGCCCGCACGTTCGCCTTTGGATCGGAGTTGCTTGAGTATTGGGGGAATTTGATCTTTCTGACATCGTGTAACCTTACACTGGTTATTCGGTTTGTGAATGGAGTTCAGCTGGTCTCCTCGATGACCTGCTCGATATCGGGGGCCGAGCTCGTCGCCAGATGCACAATGGCGTATATCCTTTTGAGCTCAGCGTCATTCTTTTCAACGTAACTTCGGAACGCTCCTGCTTGACTTGGGTATCTTTGGTAATCCTATTGCAGGTTTTCATGCATCGATCTGAACGGGTTGTATGCTGAGACGGGGTCTGGATGGGATGTGGGTCCTGTCCGTTGAAATTCGTCGCCTCCGAATGAGAATCGATCATCTTGAGCTCGATGTTGTGGCGGAGTTGTTTCTTCTGGTCTATTCCGAGCTGAGGTCGGGGTCGTTCTGATACCTTGTGTTCCGTTTTTGACCTTGCCTTGACCATTATAATCTAGGCTTCGATAGGTCGTCCATTCAGGTTGGGTTTACCGCGAACTTTCTCCAGCGTAGCGGCCTGATCGGGTGCTGGCCACTTCGGGGGAGGCGAAGGCTCCCTGGTTTCGAGGGATTGGCGTTTGGAGAGGTGGATCCGAATGTTGTCGGACTCCTTCTCTTGGATTTGCTCAGCTCTCAGCGAGGTCTCTCTCGGTTTGTTCCAGGCGGCTGGCGATGGTTCGAATGAACGGTTTCTTGTTCACGAGATATATCGATAAGTGTGACGATCATTGCTCTGATTTCCACTATTTCATCTCGATTTTGAGCTAACTGAGTCGGGGATCTCGGTCTCGTTTCCCTGGTCGGATCGTCGGGTGTTATTTTGTCCGTCGTATGGTTCCACACTTGAGATCCGATTCGATCAGTGGGAGGGTTTTGATCCGAGATCGTACTTCTTTCGGCGATTGGAATTTCAATCGATGGAGTCTATTGACTTTAGGTAGTGTTGGTGGTCTCGGTGACGTTTACTTGGTCGACGGATACCGGAACGAGCCCCAGAGGGTTTCCGGTGGGAGCGGTATATGCTTGGTCGACAGACATCAGAGCGGTTCCCAGATGGTTTCCGGTGGGAGCGGTGTCGATCGATCCGGATCAGACATTATCGGGGTTAGTTGCGTTGGGTTCCATAACCGTGCTTATAAATCCTAGATCAGGTTCTTAGCAAGGGCGTTTTTCGTTTCTCTTCTCCACAGTCGGCGCCAAAATGTAGATCCTAAAATCCACACTCAGTATTTTGTAGAGATCGAGGGTTCAATCAGGGGAAGATAAATGATGTGGGCAACGATGCTCTTAAACACAACGATAAAATCGAAATTCGATTGACAATAATGGACTTTTATTGAATATGGAATTTGTTTGCAAGGTGATGAACAAGATCGGAAATAACAACAAAAAGTACAAGCAGATAAATTAGAAATCTGTAGAATGAGGTCGATGTGATTAGTGAATAAATCTAGGGTTTTTGCCATGTGTGTTGTACTTCACTCTAGCTTCCTTTTATATTATTTTCTTCCTCTACCTCTGGGATCTCATATTGACCTTGCAGATTCGGTTCGATGTCGAGTTGGTGATAATCCTAGATGGATTTGGGCCTGCTCAGATAGGTGTCGAAATTAGGTTCAACATATCTTAGATTTTATTACTGTAGAATTTTTTAAAAGATTTAAAAGCACTAAACTTAAAACTGTAGAAAATTGATTTCTAGAGCCAATATATTTCCTTTTAAAGATTTTGAGATGTAGCTTTATAATTTATTAAAGCTTGAATGCTTTGATTTTATTGTTCTAGAGAGAATTGTGGCTGTGTAGAGCACTCACATCCATCATTGGTCACCCCCTTTGCTGCTTTGCTGTATAGAATCAAACAAGAAAATCAATAATATGGGACTTCCTTTTGTAACATGCATCATCATAATATATATCATATTCATGCATCATGAATAGTTTTCTTATAACTTATAAGCATCGAAAATGTCTGGTTTATTGGAACTGTTTCACAGCTCTATTTTACATTACATTTTTGACTTGTCAAATTATCAAACAAGAAATACAACAACATGGATCTTCCTTATGTTTCATGCATCATCATCATCATCTTTCGATTGACCTACATTCTTGAAAATAAAGTTCTTGTACCAAGAAGCTGATAGTCGTGGGGTTCTCTCTAGAGTATTAAAATCAACGTGGTACATACCAAACCTTATGGTATAACCGGATATCCACTCGAAGTTGTCAAGTAAAGACCAGGTAAAGTATCCTCTTACATCTGCTCCTTTCCTGTTTTCACCAAGCTTGTAAGGTTTTAGAATCAAGACATATGTGAGCTGAAGCATTATTACCTCATTGCCTTTTTGAGCGCATCTAAATAGTTACTCATAAAATTTACTCTACGGTGATCGTTTAACAGTATTCCTGTATTGTTCTCACCAAAACCTACAAAAAGTGATGAGATACAATTACAAGATTACAAACTTCCACACACAAAAACGCACAAGCTCAAACATACGGTCTAGCAGCACACATGCTCACCATTTTCTGTAACGTACAATGGAATATTTCTATACCGCTTTGTTGCATACATCAACATCTCTTCCATTCCTTGAGGATAGACATTAAGCCAACTTACTCCACTCTGCATCATTTCCACAATAAACCTCAAAAACACTTCTGAAAATAGGTTTTCTTTTGAATTGGTTGGTGTACATACCGGTTCTCCTAAAGGTAAACCGTGTTTAAGAGCGTTTGAATAGACAAAACCTTCAGCTCTTGAGCCTCCTTGGCCCGGTTCACATGTGGTATGAAGACAATCTTTCGCGTACCTGCTTGTGTACTGGTTAATCCCAATGAAGTCCAATCCATTCTTAGAGCTTTTTAGATCATCCTTTGTGAATTTAGGAAGATCTTCTCCAAGAATATCTTTCATTTCTTTTGGATATCTTCCAAACACAACCGGGTCCAAGAACCTGCCATTTTTCACACTCTTTCGGTTCTCAAAGTCTTGTATTTGGTTTGGGATGGGAATCTATAAACCGAACCGTCTTACCAAGTCAAGTAGAAAGCTTGTGCTCTCTCAGCAGCTAATCTATCTGCTAAAGAATCACTAACCGGTTCAAACCAGACTGTGTTCATAACAATACCAATCTTTCCCTTTTGGCCTTCCTATATTAACCAAACCAACTCTGAGTTAACAAAACCGTTCTTGAAATTTCCAGTACCGTTATGATCTTGATTCACCTGAAATTTGGTCCGGTATAAATTGACCGCGGCTAGATGTGACCGGATAATGTTGTGAGCAGCGACAAGTGGCTCTATGTCGGAACCGCCACGTGTGCAGTTTGCAAAAGTCTTGGAACAACGTGATGGCGGGTATGTCCCTTTCCGGTAACCCAAAATCACTTGAACGTTTGGTTCGTTGAACGTAGTCCAGAACTTAACTCTGTCCCCAAAGTACCGGAAGCAAATCCCTGCGTAGTGTTCGAAGTCTTCCCTGAAATAACATATTTTTAAAAATATTTCAGTTTACGTATCTACGCCAACTTGTGACACGCATGTGTGTATGCTTACTAACCGGACTTGAGGGTCAAGCCAACTTCCGTATCTAAGCTCGAGTTCTTGAGGAATGTCATAATGCGTCAAAGTAACAAATGGCTCCATCCCTGAGAATGGTATTGATCAGCTAAGTTTGGTGTTTTTTTTTGGTCTTGAGACATTTTAAAGAGATAAACATGTTAATATTATTTCCCTATTATCGTGGGACTAGATATATGTAACATTTACCTAGCTAGAATAGAATCTTCTTACGTTGTATATATACTCAGCATATGATATCAATAAACACAAGCTTACACATAATATTATACATTTTATTAGTTATTACCTTTTTCGAGAATAGCATTTATCATTCTGTTGTAATGATCAATACCTTTCATGTTCACATCTCCAAACCTTCCATCTGCAAACATACAAAAAAAGGATTCTGAGGTCGATGAAGAGAGACATATGTTAAGGAAACAAGAACGTCCTCACTTGGAAGAATCCGAGGCCATGATAAAGAAAACCTATAGCTATTAACTCCAAGGTCTTTCATCAGATCCAAATCTTCCTGTTGAAGTAACAAGTCACAACTTTGTCTTACCATACACTTGGAGATTTGTATTAATGTGTAGATTTACAGTTAAGTTACCGGATATCGATTGTAATGATCAACAGCTACTCTTCCATGGGTTCCATCTGCGATATTTCCTATGCAAATAACATATCAATTAAAGAAGAGATACATGTTTTTTGTAGTGACTTGAGCAACAAGGACGATAAGAAAACCCTATAAGTTTGAATTTTTTTTTCTTTTTAAGCTTGGATCACTATCCGCAAAGGGTTTGCTGAGATGTTACCAGGGATACTTGTGAAGACGTCCCAATTGCTTAGTGATTTTCCGTCGGCTAAGTAAGCTCCTTCATACTGAATATACCATATAGGACCACACAAAACTAATGTTAAATATGAAGATTTATTTACTGAGAATTGATGTAAGAGGTAGAACTTTATAAGAACCTGGTAAGCAGAAGAAGCAGTGCCAAAGAGGAAGTCTTTTGGAAAACTGAAAATTTCTTGGGTATTTATCTCTATCATATGATCATCATACCATATTGTTGATGATGATAAAGAGACCAAGGTTATGATGATGAAGCCGAGGAACCACAGTGGATACATAGAAATGTACATTTGATAGTTTGGTCTCCAATGATTCAGAAACTACAGATATTTTCTTTTTGTTGAACAAGGCTAAGGGTTATATAGAGAGGAAAATGAGTGGCTTGCTTCACTTTTAGTTTGAAAATGATGTTTTACCAATTTAGCTACAGCTGATCTGAATATAGAAAAATCATGATTGATGAAAACTGGCAATAGTATGCAAAGATTTGATGGACCAACCAAATGATTTTTTGTTTATTGGAAATGGTTAAATAATCTATTAAATTCCTTACTATGCATGGGTCACTTCCAAAGAATATCACTCAAGATTTCCAGGACCGACATCGACAATTTTTAAATTATTAGTGGTAACAAAGCACACGTATATGACAAATGATTGGTACATCATTGTAGCCATTGTCGTCTTCAATAAAAGGACACCTGTTACATCACTGTAACTGTTGGACCCCAAATTCTGACATGGTCCAGCGAAGGCAAAGACCCGACCCATGATGAAAGAAGGACCTAGATATCGGACTCGAGGCCGTTCTCGGCGGAGACCGATGCTCAAAAATTGACCTCGAGCTCGAACTAAAAGAACGAAGTTGAATACTCATTTGACACTAGAAGTCTAGAAAGACCAAGTCAAAAGAATATCTTCCAGAAATAAAGGCAAAGTTATAAAAGGAAGACAAGGGAGAGTAGACATGACATTCCGAACCGAGCAGCTTTCACCTCTAACATCGACCTCCACTTTTTCTTTTGTTCATCAACTTTAGTTAATTTATTCTTGTTTTCAATCAAAATCTTTGTAACTCTTTAGTGCTTCAACTTTGATATATATAAAAAAAAAAATTTGTCAACTTGAATATGATTACATTGTTGTGTTCTTAGAATATTGTTGACCACAATATTCTTCTTTCCTAGTATTTTATATACAACCACTACTAAATATCTAGTGTAATTTTATGATCCACAGTAACCGTCGTAGTCTTGAATAAATTAACAAACCAGACTGTTATCTTTTGTGAAATCCCACTGTGTTTTCTCATTATATTAATAAACTAAAAATTAAATGAATAAACAGAGCTTCATCGACAATACTTTAATATCAGTACTACAATAGTAGTGGCTTAATAATAAAGGAGTAGCAACATACACTTTGAAAGTAGAAGCAAACGCAAAGCGCTAAGATGTTCACTAGTGAATGATAAAATAACAACAGAGAAAACGCTAAACCGCTTGAAACACAACAAACCAATTCGTTTTTTTTTTTGGTTTCCAGCAGAAGTCAATACCCGAACCTCTTTACATTTTCTTTCTCAAGCCTCTTTTTTGGCCCGCCCGCAACACAAACGCGCAACGAGATAAAACGCAAAAAGGTGCGTTCTTGACTCCCTTTTGGAAAATTCTCACAAAAACAAGAAACAAATATTACCATGAAAAAAACTCCTAAACCTTCCGCCTCTTTCACTTCTCTACAGAAACACAAACCAAACCATATGTTATTTTTTTTTAATAGACCAAGAAGATGTGATTATTAGAATAAACAAACATATGCAGAAAATTGTTTACCTGAATGAATACTTCGATCATGCACCTTCACATGCCAAGGCAGTTTTGATCCTCTCAACAGTGCATTTAATCAGACTGTTGACTGTAGCCACAGATCCTAGAGAGAGCTTAGCGGTTGGAACAGAGTCAACAAGAATCTGAAACGCTACGGTTAGCAGCGAACCGCCATTACTTGTAGTGGAAGCAACCACTTCGAGGTTATTTCCATCCACTCCTCCTTCAGCTCCAGCACTAGCATTCACTCTTGAAGAGCCATCAGGCAATATAGCGAACCCGGATGGCAATAAAGCGACGTAATCTGGATCCCCACCGCTTAAGACAACGTTCATCGCCATTATGTCAACTGGTGCGTATATCACATACGATCCTGATTCGTCCGTACAGCTTTCTTGTAAGATCAACATGTTGCTCTGTCCTGAGTTCGCGCTCTGTTACGAAATTAAGAAAAATGTTCAAAACTAGAAAGCATGAATTATGACCGTTTTCCTCTCAGTAAAATAAAACTAAAAATAATCATGACCATTTTCCTCTTAGTAAAATAAAACTAAAAATAATCATGACCGTTTTCCTCTTAGTAAAATAAAACTAAAAATAATCATGACCGTTTTTAATATGTGCAATTGGAACATAACAAAATAGTTTGCTTTTTTAAAAAAAATAATAATTACTTTTAAAGATAAATGCATAAATCATGATTTTAAATTATTATTTTACAATTTAGAATTATAGGACTATATCATTAACTTCTAAAATATACAGTTAATTTTTTTTTTAATTTAGATACTATTTGAAACGCACTACTAATAATAAAAAGAGTTTGAAGAACATAATCTTACATTAACACGGAACAAGGAGACAGAGTTCCCAGGGTCACGACCATTCGCTATATGAGCCATTTCTTGAACCAAGCCTCCGTTCGAAAGTATATCCCACTGTGAAACCAAGAACCCTTAAATTCAAGAACGTTCCATCAAGAAAGTAAAGAAAAGGGTTTTGTTCTTTACCTCGCTTCTAGAGTTTTCATCTCTCAGAAAATCGAATACACGTTTAGGTGCTACTGGGATCCAGAAGGAAGTAGCGGCGCTCAAGACTATCCCCGGAGGCCTTCCTGGATCATCCATGCTCTTCCTTGTCATGACCCGAACGTCGTCGGATCCTGTGGTGGCCAATGTCGTCCATGCGTGTGCATTAGACGCGCCTACTCCGCTGCAGAAGCTCATCACCATCCTCTCAGCCAGCTTCATCATGCTCTTTCTCCCCTCAGGACTCGTTATCACTATTCATTATTGCAACAAAGTTAAGGATTAATATATTTCAATTTAATATCATAGTTTATGAATTTATCAAATAAGCCCTCTAAGTAATATAACGTACCGGAAAGATCACCGGTTGGAATGTTGCTGGCCATCGAACTAGCGAGCCGCTCGCATTGGCGGTCAAGTGTAGCCACCCAACGTTTGGCACCAAAAGCTAAACCGGTATTAACCAACGGTTTGTACATGGTGTGAACCAATCTATCATCCACCTCCGTATGCTCTACCCATGTCACCTTCAATAAATGCCAATAAAAAAATAAGTACAAACTCTCTACCTCATACTTTTAAACACTTTAGATTATTATTATACCTTCGAATAGCCATTCTGCAATTCTTGAATAAGACAACCAGAGGGTCTTCTTCTGCTTCTAGTGATGGGACTTGGTCTTAAACTGTCCAAAGAGACATCAACAACCGCCCAAGTATTGTCGCTGTGCTGCTTACAATACCTTACAAAGTAGTTCTCACGTGTCGGGACAAGTGGTGACGGGACTTGGAACTCAGCTGTCATCTTTTAGCATAACAAAAAAAATATATATATACAAAATGGTTCAGAATAATAACTTGTAGTCAAATAATCAAATTAAAAGGGTTTTTAAAGCCTCTTACCACTTGTAGTGCACCATTGTAGTTCCCTGCAACGCCAGTAGAGAGAACTTCCAGCGTCAAGGCTCTTGAGACAATCCCGCAGAACACACTAGACCATTGATTCTATAACATAGAAAGAACAGCATAAGTGTCACATCTTTGATCAAAAAAAAAACGTGTCAAATATTTCTTTAGGTTTGAGAAAAAGATAAAGAAACAGATCGATACCACATCCATTAGAATCTCAACGAGGTTGATATGGTTCATGATGACGACCGTGGACTCTCTAGAAGCTTCTGACCTCATACCAATAGGTTTTGGTCCTATTCCCCTAGGGAAAGTTCGAAAATACTCATCTTCATTGAGAATCTCAACCGAGTTATCGCTCGGAACCCACAAGGGATCACCAGTTTGAGCCATTCTCACAAGCTCTTCCATGGCAGCAACAGCTAACTCAACAATCATAGGCTTATCAGCATCAGAAGGGATCGAGACCGACCTCATAATGTCACTTGTTCCATACATGTCCCCTAAGAAACCTGTCTGGCTGTTGTTAGTGTTCCCAAAGTTGCCAACTTCAAGATCAAGGGAACGAGAGGGAATGTGGTGTGAAGATGTGAGCTGAGGGAAAGCCGAGGAGGAGTGAGTCAACAATGGCTTCCCTACGTATTTAGCAGCTATGGCTGAGATTCTATCGATTTCTTCACGTAGACGTGCGTTTTCAATCCTCAAATGCTGCTCGTCGAATGACATTTCTCCTATGGCGGCAGGACCACCACAGTTAGGGCATGTTGCATTGTTTAGAGCATCCTTGTACCTATTGTTCTCTGCTCTGAGCTTGTCGTTGTCTGACTTCAGAATCGAGTTCTCATGCCTCTCATGTTGTGCCTGTAAAGATCAAAATCTTCTTTAGGTTTGAACTCATCAGGAGTATATAGCAAACTAATGGATATTATATCTAATAACCATAATGTTTCCTTAGCATGGGACCTAACTATGCAATTAGTTAACTACATGTGTTTTAAAGATGGCTTCATGTAGTATATAAAGCGAACCAAATGTTGTACTAATGATACACCAAATTCATTTAATTACTATGAAAAAAAAAGAAACAACTTTAATGAAGATTCAAGACCAATCGTGCAAAAATTAAATGAATATAATGGCAGTAATCAAGATTAGCTCTAGTAGTACGCAATTTAAATAAAGATAATGAGTAACAATTAGCTCCTAGTAATATACCTTCATTTGGGTGCGCTTGTTTTGGAACCAAAACTTGACTTGAAGAGGTTCTAAATTTAACTCACGACTCAGCTCTTTTCTTTGCTTATCATCAGGATGAGGACACTCCTTAAAGAACCTATATGTCGCAACCAAACATACAAACATAAACATTAAATCCCAAAACATTAAAAAATCATTTCGAGTGGGGAAGTTTTACTTACGATTCAAGCTCTTGAATCTGGCGTTGCGTGTGACGGTGGTAACGCTTCTTTTTGTTGGGACGCTGATTAGGATCTTGAAGCTCGTCTTCTAATGGATTATCCATGGTCACTTCTGCTCCAGACTTAGTCTCGAAATCGTCATCTCGGCTCCCAGTGAGGCCCAAATCGTTCTCGGAGTCTTTTGGGGTCATATCGAACATATGATGATGAGACTCGAACATGTTTGGATTAAACATGATGGTGGTGATGACTACTGATCCCTATATTGGTTTTGGAGTAGTTTTCTTTTTGAGCTTTTTGAATTCCCTTCAAATCTACAAGATGATTATTAAAATCATTTTCGTAGATTTAAACCGATTTTCAACTCCAATTATATCACACACTGTCCAAAATCAAAGATAAAATGGTGTTTATATATACAAGGATCAAAGTAGAAACGGAAGATGAATCTTGATATTATGGAAAGTGATCCTCTAGATATATATGTAACAATACATACGTTTAATGTATATATTTATATTGTCTTTTTCACATTTCAAAACGAAAAGCAAAATATTGGTATTTTGTCTATTTTCATGGTTATTTATATCTGTACGTTTAGATAAGCATGTGCTTTCATCTTATCAAAAAGGCTATGAATATAAATGCACCCACTGCGTGACATAAGCTCGTTGCATATTTAAAACAAATTTCGGGAAATTCAAGTTACAAAGAGAGGACACGAAGATTCGAATGTATATTTAAGTAGAATGTTGAATAATATAAGAAAAATAGAGAGAAATTGAAGTAAAACACTATAAGGATATAACGTTATAAGAAAACTGAAACACATAACTATCCATTAAAATATACTAATATAAACAACAGTGATAGAATAAATCTTGAAAGTCACAAACATCATCGGATCTACAAAAAAACGCAGAGGTAGACAAAGAAGAAACGAATGAAGGGACTGCCTATTTACGAAACCCTATTTTCGATATGGTTTTACTTACTTTTTACAGTGATCTAGAATCGATATTGCTTGGTTGAAGAAAGCCAAGTTGTAAGGGGAAAATATTTGAAAACTCTACATACAGATCTATTTTTTCTTTGAGGTGTTAGTTTGGGATCGATATTAATGATCTTTCTCTCTCTCTCTACATAAAAGCTAGCGAGATGGAGAACTTAACAGGCTACCGATGCCAATAAAAGACGTATTTTTAGTAGAAAAAAACAAAATAGACATTTTTTCTTGGTGGATAATTTAATTGACCTTCGTCTTATTTGACTCTTATTAATTTACCAAAAATATGTTTTCAGTAAAAACTAATTTAAAAAGTTTAATTTTTTAAAAGAGATTTATTGAAAGGTAAATTTTAAGTAAGAAAAGTAAAAATTAGCTATTAGGAGTGTACATTAATGTGTACACATGAGTTGACGTTAAGTCAACGTCCTATTTTACATTTACTAGTAAAATTCGTCAAACGCAAACTCTCTTTCACACTTGTATAACTCGAAAGAGGTTTATTCTTTGTATCTTTTTAGATAAAGGAAAATGCATAGCTTAAAGAAATCTTTTAAAAAATGAAGAACGGATCCGGTTAGTGTGAACAAACATGCAATATAGATCCTATTACTCGAAGAAAAAATAAATATTCAAAAGTATATGTAAATAAGTACTGGTTATATATAGCGAGAGAGAGAGTAAGAGAGAGAGAGAGAGAGAGAGAGAGAGATCTTACCTTTGTACAAACAAAGAAACCCTAGCTCGTAGTCTTCTCTATTTTTTTGGGTTATTTTCTTGTGGAGAAAAACGAGATAGATGCGGAGATATGAGAAGCATCTGTGTATAGCCTAGTCAAGACATAACCGGTGATTTTCAGAGGATTATTTTTAAACCAGCAAGAGGTTCCTAGTGTCAGTATCCAGAAGGAAAAATGATAATTTTTGTTGTTAAATAAACAAACGGAGAATTGGCTGAAGGAAGAACTAAGGAGAGGAGGAAGAAGGAAGGAGGCGAGGAGAGGTTGTGGTAGAAGGAAAAGGAGTTATTGCGAACTGCATAGAGAAGGTGCATTGCATTTATGATTATCGAAAGGTCCATTAATGCTTTTAGTGAGAGAAAATTCATACCACTACTTATAGATATATTTTCTAGATATAGAGTTTCACTTCATCAGTTTTGAAAATACTCTTTTTTTTTTAAATCACAGTTTCTCTTTTTTTTTTTTGAACATAAATCACAGTTTCTCTTTGACTTCACGGGTTCTCGTAGGTAAGAAAAACAATAGAGGAATTAACGAAAAAATCAAAATAATTAACTTACTACGTATACTATAGATTATATATATATATGTGTGTGTTTATGGTTATAGTTTATTTTCTAATGTATTCTATAAATATATATATATATGTGCTCATGGTTATAGTTTATTTTCTAATGTATTCTATATCAAATTGATAAGTATATGCATGTGTTGTGCATATTGCACATTAATTACATATATGTCCAAGATAATATATAGACATATAA